CCTCGGCCTCCCAGAGTGCTAGGATTGCAGGTGTGAGCCACCGCACCCGGCCATTATAAAATATTTTATTGTCTCTTATTTTTTCTTTATTCACAGGCAGTTATTTAGGATTGAAGGAGTAAAAAGTGTCTTCTTTGGACCAGATTTTATCACTGTCACTAAGGTAAACATAGGATTATATAAAATAAGAATCGAAGTACTTCTAGTTTTTTCTGAATCTAATGCCCCTCTCCAGAATTTACATTATTAATGTATTTTATATATATAATTAAAAATCTCAAATGAAGTTTACTTCTCACATTTCTGAAGTTAATTATTTAATATAATTTTCTAGTTAAAATTAACTATAGTCCAGGTCTCTCATTTTTTTAAAAGAGAAAAACTTGAGCTTCGGAGGGTTAAATGCAGTGTCCAAGATTATAAAGCTACCCTATAGCAAGACTTAACCTTGGCAGGACTATAATTTGGGCTTCCAAATATTAGTTTTACTAATTCTTATTTTAAATTGATAGAGTAAAAAGGGAAGCAAATAAATATTATAAACAAACAAATTACATAGATATATGTCAGATGCCATGATATATGTGCCCACTTTGAAAGGAGCTATATTCATTCATTCTGTTGAGATATAAATATACACACACATATATAAAACAAATTACATAATATATGTACAAATTCCACCATTCTGCAATACTTCCATAACATATTTAATATTTGATATTTAATAGAATAGTGAATTTGATTTGTTTTCTTTCAGTAACCTTTCTCATGGACTATCATATTTATTTGACATCTTCAGCAATTGCCTGTTCCCTTTCTGATTTGTAATTGATAATTCATAGGTTTGTTCATGTATCATTTGTTTTTTTTCCTAAATGTATATGTGTATTTGCAGCTTATCTATTATCTTTTTTCTCATTCAGAAAAATTCAGAATATTTTTCTTCTTTTTGTTACTACTTAGTAGAGCCTACCATTTACTAAAGATTGAGGTGGCATTCTGATCCATCTTCCCAATAATTTATTAAAATATTACATAGAACTAGTTTCCTTTCCCAATTACTAAGACATATCACTAGTTTTGTATCTGTAGCAGTGCCAATTTATCTGACTTTTTGTGTATCCTCTCTAAATTGGTTCTTAACTCATGACAAAAATGGCCCTTTTATCCATGTTGACTCAATTTTTAATGGTATTTAAGCAAAATCTCTAGCTAATAGCACCATGAGAGTCTAAATAGACTGCATCTAATAGTTTTTCCTCCTAAAGAACTTCCCTTTAAAAAACTAAAAACAAAACATGTTACCTTTCTCTTTTTACATGTTAGTATTACTTAGGTGTTTAATAATCCTACCTTTTTATTTATGGAAATAACTAGTTGGTCAGGTATACAGGTGAAATAGTTATGGAATCATTCTTAAGGATACCAGTCTTGTTGACAATTTATAAGTCCTCCAGCAGAGTAACTATGGTTCTACAGTTTCATCACTGAATTTCTTTAATACTCTTTAAGTAATATATGTAAGTTGAATTTTTTGAATAGTTGTGGGATGTCCTGTATATTTGATCAAGCAGTTATATCTTATTTTCTTTAAGAGAATGAGAATCTCTTTATTTGTCCTCTTTAAAGACAGAAAATTCATTTAATATTTTAACTCTCTTTACATCATGAAAAAATATATTTTAATCATTTTAATCATTGTCCCCTATACCGAGTATGGTACATATAGCACACTTAATAAAAGTTTGATGAGTGAATGAGTGAAGGAATGGGGGCTGTTCTAAGATTTTATCTTCTGAAAGTCATTTAAGTGAGACCCTTTAAGATTTGGAACTGATGTGTATTCTCCGGAAATGGGTGCTTTTGCACAGTACTGTATTTAGGATGTGTATAGGAAAAGATTCTTGAAAGAAACAAGGAAGTGTTCTGTATTTGTTTTTGCCCTTGGCTGGAAATGTGGCATTTTCTTTTAAATGCTTATAGGAAAATGAAGAATTAGACTGGAATTTACTGAAACCAGATATTTATGCAACAATCATGGACTTCTTTGCATCTGGCTTACCCTTAGTTACTGAGGAAGCATCTTCAGGAGAAGCAGGTAACATGTTGTGTAGAGTAATCAATATTTGTCTTTTTTATTAGACTTTTCTATTTTCTTTACATTTGCCTTGATTTCAGAAGTCATAGGAATATAGATTTTTACCATTTAA